CCCAGCTATTTGGGAGGCTGAGGCAGGAGACTTGCTTGAGCCCAGGAGTTGGAGGTTGCTGTGAGCTGTGAAGCCACAGCACTCTACCCAGGGGATAGCTTGAGGCTCTGTCTCAAAAAACAAAACAAAACAATTTTCCGATGGGGTCTTGACCCTTAACCTCTGCCCCAGCCATTAGGACTGAGTCTGACTGCAGTAGGCAAGGATAAGGCCAAGAAAAAGTGAAAGCCCAAAACCAAAACATTCTGAGGGCCAATAGCATCCTCTGGGACTCCAAACCCTTCATCATCTCTCCCAGGCAACAGGAGCATCTCTGGCTTAAGCAGCCATGGGTTTGGTTTCTGCCACTGGTAACCCAAAGAATCCAGTCACCTCAACATGCTGCAAAAAAGCAAACCCTCTGCCTGCACAATCTCACATCCCCCAGTCTCAGGCAGCAAAAGCAGGAGAGATTTTTCAATTTGTTTTATTCTGGTAAAACACACAGAGCACAAAATTTACCATCTTAACCATTTTTAAGTGTATGGTGCAGCGGGATTAAATTCATTCACTCTGTCCTGCAACCATCATCACTACCCATTTCCAGAACTTCTTCATCTTACAAAACTACAACTCTGCACCCATTAAACAATTCCCCAGTCCCCTTCCCAGCCCCTGACTCCTCCTGTACCTGGCAGAAGTAGAATCACACAGTATTTGTCCTTCTGTGACTGGCTTATTCCACTTAGCATAACGTCCTCAAAGTCCTTCCATGTTGAAGCATGTATCAGAATTTCTTCTCTTTGCAAGGCTAAATAATATTCTGTTTTATGTACATACCACATTGCATTTAACTGTTCACCTGTGGATGGACATGTGGGTTGCTTCCACCTTTGGGCTACATGATTAACACTGCACTAAACACAGCTGTGCAAATGTGCCTTCAAGATCCAAAAGCAGGTGGGATTTTACCTCTTTTGGCCAGTTCCAGGGCAGTTTGCTTCCCAATGCCTGTGTTGGCACCTGTCACAATGACCGTCTTCCCAGGTATGGTGGCCTTGCTGGGGCAAGACCCACCGGCGACATAGTCCCTGAAGGTGAAACAGCATGATCAGTTCTGCCTGTGCCATCTTGCCCTGTGTGACCCCATGTGATTCAATGAACCCTCTGAGCTCATCCCCTCAACCAAAAAACAGAAAATTACAGCTCAGCGCCTGTGGCTTACATGGCTAAGGCGCCAGCCACATACACCCAAGGTGGCGGGTTCGAATCCAGCCAAGGTCTGCCAAAACAACAATGATGGCTGCAACCAAAAAATAGCCAGGCGTTGTGGTGGGTGCCTGTGGTCCCAGCTACTTGGGAGGCAGAGCCAGGAGACTCGCTTGAGCCCAGGAGTTGGAGGTTGCTGTGAACTGTGATGCCATGGCACTCTACCTAGGGGGATAGCTTGAGGCTCTGTCTCAAAAAAAAGAAAAAGAAAGAAAGAAAATCACCTCACACCGTGGAATTTTTGTCATAATTCTCCATAAAAGTCTTAACCCAGGCTCGGCGCCTGTGGCTCAAGTGGCTAAGGCACCAGCCACATACACCTGAGCTGGCAGGTTCGAATCCAGTCCAGGCCTGCCAAACAACAATGATGGCTGCTACCAAAAAATAGCCAGGCGTTGTGGTGGGCGCCTATAGTCTACTTGGGAGGTGGAGGCAGAAGACTCGCTTAAGCCAGGAGTTGGAGGTTGCTGTGAGCTGTGATGCCATGGCACTCTACCCAGGGAAACAGCTTGAGGCTATCTCAAAAAAAAAAATTCTTAACCCAGACTCTGGTGCATGGAAAGCCTTCATGAGATGACAATTATTTTATAAATACTTGCTATATGAGATTCCAATGGTTGCTATAACAAATTACTACAAACACAGTGACTTAAACCGAAGCAAGTATATCATCCTACAGCTCTGCAGGTCAGGAGTCCAAAATAGATCTCAGAGATAAAACCAAGGTATCTGCAGAGCCAAGTTCCTTCTGGAGGCTCCAGGGGAGAGTCCTATAGAGGCCTCCCACAACCCTTGGCTGGTGGTCCCCACCCTCCACCTTCAGAGTGCGTCATTCCATCTTGCCATCTCTTCTCTGACTCTGACCCTCCTGCCTCCCTCTTATAAAGGCCCTATAAGATGACATGGCCCCCTAGTAATCCAGGATAATCTCATCTCGAGATTCTTAATTTAAACCCATCAGCCAAGTCACTTTTGGTGGTTTGGTTTGGTTTGGTTTTTTTAGGGTAACAGAGAGATTTTATTTAGGAAGAATAAAGGGCAAATTTAGCACACTTCCAAAGACAGCTGGAAATGGGTCCCTCTCATGAAGAAGAAAAGGTGAGACAGAAATGGAAACAAGGCCTGCAGGGGGTATTAAATACTCCATTTGCAATTGGCTGGGAGACTTTCATTGACCTCTGCACCTCCAGGCAGTATTGCCCTTTTAAAACAAGAGCAGCACAGGCAGTGTGGATAGAAGTGAGTAACAAAGAGAGAGTTTATTTAGGAAGAACAAAGATAAAGTTTAGAGTACTTCCCAAGAGAGCTGGAAGTGGGTCTCTATTATGAAGGAGAAAAGGTTAAAGAGCCACCGGCATTAATGTACATAGTTACCATTCAATAAAAAAAAAAAAAAAAGAGCCACCAGCAAAGTTACTTTTTTTTTTTTTTTTAGACAGAGTCTCACTATGTCCCCCTTGGTAGATTGCCGTGGCATCACAGCTCACAGCAACCTCAAACTCTTGGATTTAAGCAATTCTCTTGCCTCAGCCTCCCAAGTAGCTGGGATTACAGGTGCCCACCACAACGCCCAGCTATTTTTGGTTGCAATGTCCTTGTTCTTTAGCAGGTCTGGGCTGGGCTCTAACCTGTGGTGTATGTGGCCGTCGCACTACTCACTGAGTTATGGGCACCAAACCAGCAAAGTCACTTTTGATATATGAGGTATCGTATTCACAAGTTCTGAGGATCGGGATGTGGACAACTTAGGGGGTCATTATTCTGCCTACCACACCCACGCCCCACAGAAGCTAACCATGGGAAATAAGCCAATGTTCACCAACAGGGTCTACCAGAGAAACAACACTGCATCCACAGAAGGGCACTGTACAATATGGTGGCCACCAGCCACTTGAAGCTAATTTTTAATTTAAATTAATTAAAGTTAAGTAGCCCTGCTTTATAGTCAAATAGTCAGGAGTTAGCACAGAGGAAAGCGCAACTATAGAACATGTCTATCATCACAGAAAATTCCTGGGCAATGCTGCTATAGACCACTGGGTGGCTGTTTGGTTCATTTCCTGAAGTGAGGTAGACCAATATTTAGTAAACCTCTCCCATAACAGGCCAGATGGTAAATGTTTTCTACATTTTAGTCCACATGAACTCTGTCATAGTTACTCAGCCCTGCCCTTGTAGTACAAAAGTAACCACAGGCAAAATGCAAACAAATAGAATGTGGCTGTGTTCCAATAAAACTTTATTTACAGAATCAGGCAGCGGGACAGAATCAGTCTGGGAGCCACAGTTTGCAGACCTCACCCTCTTTCACTGAAGAACACTGCACACATTGAGGGACATTGTATGATAATACCTACCTCACAAGGTTTTGTGAATATCCAAAGTTAAGCCACAGGATGTGCTTACAAAGGGCCTGACACACAGAACATGTTCAAGAAAACATTACCTGGCTCAGTGCTCAGTGGTTAGGGTGCCAGCCACATACACAGGGGCTGGCAGGTTCGAGCCCAGCCCAGGCCTACTAAACAATGACAACAACAAAAAACTAGCCAGGCATTGTGGTGTGCTAGTGTAGTCCCAGCTACTCAGGAGGCTAAGGCAAGAGAATCGCCTACGCCCAAGTGTCTGAGGTTGCTGTGAACTGTAACACCATAGCACCTACCAAGGGCAACATAGTGAGACTCTATCTCAAAAAAAAAAAGAAAGAAAGAAAGAAAGAAAAGAAAACATTACCAAAAGATAGAGGGTGGGCTCACAGCACTGGGCATACATCATTCTCAGGTTAAATGTGTCTGGCAACCCCAGTAGGATAAGGAAAAGTCATTTCCCTCACCTTACAGATGACCTGCTGAAGGCCACACAATCAGAAAAGGTGTCAGGACCCAAAGCCAAGTGAGTCTGATGTCAGGGTCCATGTTCCTAAACCACCCTGCTAAGGATAGGCCCAAACAACTGTGGCTTCTCTTTATCATAGTATCGTATTATGTGAGTTATATATTATCATTGTTTTAAATTTTATTTATTCTTCAACAGGAAATACATTTACATGATGATCAACTTACCCTTTAATCATTTCGGGGCCGGGCATAGTGGCTTATGCCTGTAATCCCAGCACACCAGGAGGCCGAGGCAGGTGGTTTGCCTGAGCTCACAGGTTTGAGATCAGCCTGAGCAAGGAGAGACCCCATCTCTAGAAATAGCTGGGTGTTGTAGTAGGTGCCTGTAGTCCCAGCTACTCAGGAGGCTGAGGCAAGAGAATCGCTTGAGCCCAAGAGTTTGAGGTTGCAGTGAGCTATGATGCCAGGGCACTCTACCAAGGGTGACATAGTGAAACTCTGTCTCAAAAACAATAATAATGGGAAGGAATGTTTCTTAAAAACATTGGTAGATGTCAGGAAACCACTACTTTACTCAATGTGAGGAGAGCCTGTTAAATCTTTTGGGATGGTGATTTAGTCTCAGGTGTCAAATCATATAAATGTGTACATTGGACATTGCCTCCAGACCACTCATAGACATTTATCAAAAGATGCTGGTACATACATATATACCCAAAAGTTACATCATTCAGTGCCTTACCTAACTGTAGGAAGAGAGCAAAGTGTTGCTAAGGAGGGAGAGATGACATGGTACCCCAAGGATGAGACTCTATACAACCAAAGCAACAGTCTGCAAGAACAGGGGTGAACCTGCACCTTTAATGCTAAATTAAAAGTGGAAATAAAACCAAATTGGAAGTATACACACTGATGGAAAGACCGTGGACTCCGAAGCCAGACGTGTCTGGGTTCTGCCCTGGGACCCCTACTCACTTGTAACAGGAAAAGGCATTTTTCCTAGGTGCAGAATTAATGACAGTTACTGCTGTGTATATTCAATACAATCCCAAACTCCTCGGGAAAGAGAGAAAAGAAGACGAGAGCGAGGGAGGGAGGAAAACAGACAAAGATATGTGTACACTGCATTTCCTATGCAATAGGATCTTTCCTTTTATTGAGTTGTACGTTCCTATTTCTTTAATTTTGAATAAGGAGAGTTTCGGTGACACAGGCCGGCACGGAACACACGGTAAGCACAATTTGCTGATTAAACATTAATTAGAAGACTAGAAAGAGTAAACCAAAATGTATAAGAGGGCCCACTCCCGCCCTTCCTCCGGGTGACCTTGGGCGGGCGAAGCGCCGGTCCGATCGAGCGCTGTCTGCCATCTCTAGGGGGCCGCATCTCTCGGAGCTGCCCTCCCCGCCCGCGACCGGCAGGCCCGCACGTACCCACCTGAGCAGCACGGCGCCCCCCACCACAGTGCCCAGCGCGGACAGCGGTAGAAGGTAGCGGCTCATGTCCTGCCCCCAGCACTGGCAGCCACGTGGGGAGGCGCAGGCGCCGCAGAGCCTTCGGTTTCCGGAACTGAAAGTCGAGGGGGTGTGGCGAGGGGCCGAGGGGCCGAGGGGCGGGGGACGGTTAAGGGGCACGAGGCGGGACCTATGGAGGGGTTCCCCCGCCCCACCCCGCGAGCGCTGTCTCAGCTGGGAAAGGTAGTTTCGGGAGCCGGGAGGCGGGGCCGTGGCTATGGGGCGGACCCTGAGCTGCGTTACGCTCTCATCACAAGAGGCGCTAAGCGGTCCTGGAGTGAAAAGACGGTTCGAATCCCACCGCCGCCAGACTGCCATCGTCTGTGCGTCTTTCAAATATGTCAGCCTGTTTCCTCCTGTACAAATATGTTTACCAATATCTGCACTTGGTACTAGTGAGTTTGTAGGAGAATTTGAGGTTTGTGGGAGAATTTGAGGATTTCGGTGCACAGAAACCAGGACCTAGTGGCCTGGGGGTACCCAAGCTCATGGGGTCCTGATGGAGGAGGAGGGGCTGGAGTTTGAACCCCTGGGTCCGATGGAGAAGGGGGCTGGAGGCCCGGATCCCTGTGTCAAATGGAGGAAAAGGGTCTGGGGGCCTGGACCCCTGAGTCTGATGGAGGAGAGGCTGGGGCCCAGACTTACTTCCAAAGCTCCTGGCCGCCCACTTCGATCTCCCATCCTGCCTTCTCAGAGACTTTGCCCGGGCTGCCTCTCTTGGATGAGTATCCCGCCACTCCTGCTCTTACCTGTCTGTGCCTGTCACCCCCACCAGTCTGAGATGAACTAGGCACCTGCACCCCTCGCACTGGTTCAGAACGATTCTGTCAGATCCCACCTCCCACCCACAACAGTCCCCAGGGTTCAGGAGTGGGCAGCACTGGAACGGACCAATTCCACCCAGTCCGCCTAACTGGGGTAAGTTTTCTTCCCCAGCGGATGAACTGTCCTCATCTCATGAGTCCCGCTCACGGAGGTTACACAGGCAGGAAGGGCTATTTTAACAACTGCAGGGGCCTTAAGCACTTACCATCTCAAACACATTAAAACTATTCACATCTCACAGTAAACATATGTGTTTTGTTATGTTTTTTTTTTTCAATATTTAAAAAACTGGCCAAAGAACACAAAATTTCAGTTAGGAGGAATGAGTTCTAGAGATCTAATGTATGACATGGTAACTATAGTTAATAACAATGTATTCTGTGCTTGAAAATTGCTAAAGTAGATTTTGTGTTCTCATCACAAAAAATAAATATGTGAGGCAATGCATCTTGTTCATTAGCTTAATTTAGCCATTCCATGATGTATACATAGTTCAAAACATGTTAAACACCATAAATACTTACAATCTCTACTTGTCCGTTTTAAAAAATAAATTTTGAAAATGAAGTTTTGATGGACATTTGGAGAGGAGGAGATGCTGCGACCCAATAATCTCATTCCTAGATATTTTACCAAGAGAAATAAAAATAGTGCAGGCCCACACAAAGACTTATGTATAAGGATGATTACAGGCCAGATACGGTGGCTCACGCCTGTAATCCCAGCACTATAGGGACTGAGGTGGGAGAATCTCTTGAGCTCAGGAGTTTGAGACCAGCCTGAGCAAGAGTGAGACCCCATCCCTCCTAAAAATAGAAAAAAACTAGCTGGGCACTGTGGTGTGGACCTGTAGTCCCAGCTACTCAGGATGCCGAGGCAAGAGGATTGCTCAAGCTCAAGAATCTGAGGTTGCTGAGAGCTATGTTGCCACAGCATACTAGCCAGGGCTGCAGAGTGAGACTCTGTCTCAATAAATAAATAAATAACTTGGCATTGTGGTGAGCGCCTGTAGTCCCAGCCACTTGGGAGACTGACTGAGGCAGGACAATCATTTGAACTCAGGAGTTCAAGGCTACTGTGAGCTAGGCTAAGGCCACTGCACTCTAGCCTAGGCAACAGAGTGAGACTGTCTCAAAACGGAGGTGGGGATAGTGAATTCTCTGGTACATAAATTATACTTCAGTAAAGCTGACCAAAACAGGGGGCAGGGGATAATGAAAAGACTTATCATTTTGTTCTGGAAATTATTTGACTGCAAGTAACTCATTTGGTATGATTGGTCTGATTTCTCCATAATCAGTAGACATACTTAAGAATTTTTATGAAGTGAGAAATATCTGACTGATAAATTATTTCCAGATGTTCCAAAAAGTTTCTAAATATTGGCTTTGACAACTAACAAAGTGATGTAATGTCTTGTTTTGTAGACTTAGAATGAGATGAGTCCACGTTGGCTTTGCAGCTTTCAAGATGTGGACCTAATTTTTTTTTTTCTTGGAGAGTTGCATCTTATTTCTGTAGTTCCTTGAAAACAGTGAGCTATGGGTGCTTAGGTCCTGGACACAGGACACCCGAAGGGAACACGCCAACCCTGAATCCAGGATCTATGATTAGAGACCCAGCCTAAGAGTGAGGAAACCTGAATAGGATTTTGAGGGATGAGTAGGAGTTCATCAAGTAAACCAAGGTGAGTGGCAACTTTGACAGAAGCAACAGCATATGCAAAGGCTAAAAGTCAGGAGGCAAGTTGCTTGGGAGGTTACAGGTTGTTTGGGATGGTATGGGGGTGGCTTAAAGGGGGAAGCAACTGGCAAGAAATGCAGCTGAAGAGAAAAGAATAAAAATAAATAATAATGACAACTACTATTTATTGTTTTTATTTCTATTGATAGTTTTTATGAACTATTATTTATTTAGTACCTGATATGTGCCAGATATTGCACTGAGTAGTAAGTAGCTCATTTAATCCTTACAACAAACAAGGAAAGGTTTATTGTTGGGGCTGCAGCAAAGATGGCTGTGTCTAGTGAGAGACATCTCTCCTTTCTGAGATTGTGGGAATGCTGGAGTATAGAAGGGATGAGACCTGGGAAGGTGGAAGGGGCTATGGGGAACCCCAGGCATAGATTTAGACTTTGATTCTGATCCCTGCTCCACCTTTTCCCAGATGTGTATCTTGGGCAATGATTTCTCCTCCCTCAACTTCAGGCTCCTCTTACCCATTCCAACCACAAAGAGTTAGTATCCTTAATATGTAAAGAGCCTTTATGAATCAGTGAGAGGGGAAAAGGCTCATCCTCACCAGAAAGGGGAGAATACAGGCAAAGAATGTGGTGGGCCATTTGCAAAGGAAGAAAGTCAACACGCACATGAAACTTCTCAGCCTTACAGAGAATCAGATAAATACTCATTAAGATGAAGTAAGATAACACTTTCTAATTATCAGACTGGCAAGATTTAAGACAATAATAATACTCAGTGTTGGCAAGGATGTGGGAAAACAGGTACTCTTACTATGCTGGCGGGAGTGTCAGTCAGTACAACCCTACTAGAAGGCCATTCAGCAAGTATCTGTGCATATCTTCAACCCAGTCAATCCCCTTGGAAGAATTTATGCTAAGGCAGGTGATTCAGAAAGAAACATGTATAGGCAAGTGTTCCTCACAGCCTCTCTGTATAGTAGTGACATGCTAAAAGTAAACAAAATCAACTCCAATGTCCACCCGTAGGTTAGTGGTCAGTCACTCCTTCTTTTGACAATTATTTAGCACTTACTGTGTCTCAGGCACTAAGTTGGACCCTGGAATTTGGCAAGAAGGCAGAGTACCTGCCCTGATACTAACAGGCAAAGTTAATTCATCTCTATGTGTTTCTAGACAGACTCTGTCTCCTGCTTCATCAGACTCAAAAGTATAAGAAATTCCATGAGTTCCTTCATTTACCACCAAAGCAGAAAAAAATAAAAAAAAAAAATAGGCTATGGAGTAAGTCACAACACTGATTTCCATTTTTTTTTTTTTTTTTTTTTTGGAGACAGAATCTCAAGCTGTTGCCTGGATAGAATGCCGTGGCATCACAGCTCACAGCAACCTCAAACTCTTGGGTTTAAGGTATTTTCTTGCCTCAGCCTCCCAAGTACCTGGAACTACACAATGCCCGGCTATTTTTTTTGTTGCAGTCGCCCATTGCTGTTGGTTTTTTTTTTTTTAGCTGGCCCAAGCTGGGTTGGAACCCGCCACCCTTGGTGTATGCCGCCAGCGCCCTACCCACTGAGCTACAGGTGCCACCATGATTCTCTCTTTTCTTAATTTATGTACTCACATGTATATTTTTAGAGCTTGAAAGAAAACACTGTAAGATTCTGCATGAGTTCTCTGCCAGGCAGAGGGATGAGTGATTTTATTGGTTTTCACTTTGTGATCATCTGTTTTTCCCCATTGTTGTCAGGTAATGGCTTCTTGCTTGTGGAGGTGAAACTATCCCATGAGAGGCAGTACAGGGCATAGCAGCCCAAGTGCCTGCTGACAGATGAATGGGTAAACAAAATGTCATCTACACACACAATGGAATATTATTCAGCCTTAAGAAGGAAGGAAATTCTGACACATGCGACAACACAGAGGAGCCATGAGGACATTATACTCAGTGGAGCAAGCCATTCACAAATGATGGATACCGCATTATTCCACTTACATGAGCTACCTGGAGCTGCCAAATTCGTAGTGGCAGAAAATAGGGTGGTGGGGGGAGAAGGAAATGGGGAGTTGTTGGTGAGTGGGTGCAGAGTTCATTTTGCAAAATGAAAAGAGTTCTGGAGATGGATGGTGGTGATGGTTGCATAACAAAATAAATGTACTTAATGCAGGTACTTACACCCTGCTGGTGGGAGTGTCAAATTAGTACATCCTTCCAACAAGGCCCTTCAGCAGTCTGTGCTAAAACCATCGGTGCATCCCTCTGACCCAGTCATTCTCATTTTAAGTGTATGGAACTGTAGACCTAAGAATGGTTAAGATGGTATATTTTATTTTATGTGCTTTTTATCACAATGAAATATAGAAAAATTAAAATTAAAAAAATTAAATAACATGGACACTCAGTTCAAATGCTCATTCTTTCAACCTTGAAAAAAGCATTGTTTCTCTCTATGTCTTTTTTTTTCCTCCTCCTCTGTTAACAAAGGTCTGT